CAAGAAGTCAGTTGCACTGGGAAGGGTGTTGACATCTTTATACCTATCATAGTGATGTTGCTCTGCTGACTTGGGTGGTACGAGCCCAAGCCCCAGGTGCAAAGCTAGAGATACCAGCAGCAACAACAAAAAATCCTGGCACTAAACCCGTTCTCTTTGTAGAGGAAATTCTGTGTTGACTCACTGTCAGCACTGCCTTGACCTCCTCTTTTCTTCTCTGAACTGCTGGATCTCTGTAATGCAAGATCCTTTCTCCCCCAAGAGATGTTTTGAAGTGCAAGGGGATTTTTTTGGTGTTTAAAAAGACAAAACTCCTGGAGCTAAAACACATTTAGAATCATAAAAGAATAAATAGTCAGAGAACATTCAGCCTCCAAATATCAAGGAGACTGTCAGACTGCACAAGGCTGATATTTCTCCATTTCCAGACCTGAGTGTGAGGAGTTAGACAAGAACAGACTTGTGGGAATTGAAAAGGATTCTAGGGATGGCTTTTAAAAATATAAGTGGAATGGAAACATGATGCTTCTCTTTTCTTTCCATTTGAAAAACTGAACATATTCCTAAATTAATGGAAAATATTCTTTAAATGAAACAATAATTTGTCTGCTCTGCCTTCCAAAGAGCAGTACAGAATGATTTCCTAAATGCATCCTTATTAGATACAAAAGCTATAAAGACAGTCTGTGCTTATCTGAAAATCTCTAATTAGACCAGAAGAAAATAAAATAAATTAATAATTTAGGCAATAAAGTTCATTAGAAATGTTTTTCTTGCCCTACTTACACATATATCTTCTACTTATGGAATGTATATGTTTCTAAAAATGCCTGCTGAAACAGTTGCATCCTAAAGATGAAAACAGAGCAGCTGTAATTGTAGTGCAGGTATAAAGACAACCAAGCTGGCTCTGCAGAAGGTGGGGTTTTGACCAGAGCTTCAGCAGAAGATGTTGCACCAGCAGGATGCAGCCACCATGGGGCTTTCAAAGCTGGGCTGATACCCTTGCATGGAAGTCTGCAAGTTGAGTTGTTGTTGGCTTGAGAAGGGAGCTGAGTAGCTCCTTCAGGGAGGGTTCTTGATTTAGGCAAGGTCTGAAGGCTAACTCTTAAGTTGAGATATCAAGAGGTGAGGTTGTGACTGAAGGAGTTCTCAAGTGTTTCCCCCTCCTGGCTTCAAGGGACAAGGGTTTGCTAAGTGTGGAAGCATCAGAAATGCCTCACTGCCCTGAGCTGGGGCACAAGCACCAGTCTGGTTAGCAGAAGTGTGACTGAAAACCAAGGACACTGAGAAATAGCCATTTCACTCAGCTAAGAGGAAAGCTATTTGAAAATGAAACCCTCACAGGAACACTGCTCAAGATCCAAAAGTTATTAAGTTTGAATCCAAGTCTCATCTCCTTTGGAGTTGATTTGATCCAGACATCTTATTAATGTTTATTTCTAAAGTGAATCCTTGCTCATGGTTGCAAAACACACACAAATCATGGTTGGATATGGGCCAGGGAGAGAGAAATGTCCATAACTCAACCTCTTCTCTGTACCTGCAAGCTTAATATCTGCTTTTTGATTGCTCTAAAGTAGAAATCCTTTAGCTGCATTTTGTTAGTGAGTTGTGATGTCTATACTATGTGGACTTAAATGTCTTTCAAAGCCATAGTTGAATTTTCTGTATTTTATAATGATTACTGTTTCAACCATGATTATTCATGCTATTTAATTTCTGTAGCTTCTGCAAGTGCTTTTCAAACCAACATGGAGAACACAAAATCATTAAGGCAGTTTTTGATTGGGCAGCAATTTGCATTGTATGGATTATTTCTTACAGAAAACATGTTCAGTCAATGCTTCAAAAAGTGCAATTTTCATGAATGCCAGTTTCTTTTCCTGTATGTTTTTCAGAAAGAAGTGGCCCCAGTTATCTCTAGTAGCTTTAAAAAGTGGGGTCTAATGTGCTCCTCTTTTCACCCTTCATTGATGATGGAATCCATGTGCAAGTGGAAAAGATTAGTATTCCTAAACTGTTGAGAGTCAAATGTTATGGCTATGAACAGAAGACAGTTTCCTTTAAAAGCAAAATTCAAGTTTTTTTCCTTGTGGTAAACAGCACAAATTCCATACATCAAAGCTTTTTCAAACAATGGGCTTGATGAGTCCAAGAACATTGTCCCCGTGCAGAGCTGCACAGACAGAAACATCCTGCTGCTCTGCTCCTGGTGTGACTGGTCACTGGAGAAAGAGGGGCCAGCTGTGAAGGGAAAGCTTTTCATTAATTTGCAGTCAAGTGATGGAGAAACATACTTGAATTTTCTTATCAAGTTATAAGATGAAAAAAAAAAACCCTACATATTTGATAAATTAGTGGACAGCTTAAAGTTTATTTCCCTTCCAGAGAAAACAAGTTGAATGATCTACTGATTTATATAAAGAACAGTAAAAAAATAAATTCCTGGAGGCTATAGAATGGATGGCAAAGGTCTTGAAGGTTTCAGCTGAAATACCTTAATGTTGGAGAACACTGAGAATGGACAGTGTGTTGTTAACAACCTATTGCTCAGTTATCATTAAAGGTACCTGTACCTCATATCAGAGACAGCTCCCACCTGCTCCTAGAGCCTAAGCTTGCTTTCATTGAAAACTCCCATAAAATTGAGCATTTCATAATATTGGCCAGTTAATCTGATGAGCTCACAGACAATATAAATAATTCATCTTTAAAAAAATAAAAAACAGTCAAGCATGTTTAGCTCAGATCCACATAAACCTGTTTTTGTCTCTTATTAAACTTCAGTTTCTCTAGAAATATAAATAATACACACAAAAACAAGCAGGCAATTTTTTCAGCTTGTAAATACCCATTATGCAGTTTAAGAAACCCTCCCTGAAATCCACAGGGAAAAGAATATTGCAGTTTTAGAACAAATCACATTTCAGTCTGAATAAAACCAACCTCCCTTCTCGGAGACAGAGTGGCAGGTGTATGTCATGTCAGGTAACTTCAGGCAGCTCTGACAGGCAGCTGCTGGGCTCAAAACCAGGGCATTTCCTACAAGATTCATAAAAAGTCATGAAAACAGGCAGAGAAGAGAGGAATGGTGAGGCAGGGGCTGCACCCCAGGCAGCAGCTGGGTGCTGACAGCCCCAGGAAGCTCCCAGCGCCCTCGCTCCTGCTCCGTACCCAAGCACGGGCTGTGAAACACCCTTTGGAAGAGCCCAAGTTTCCATGGATCCATTGCAGATGAAGCTGCTCACTATGTAGAAAATGTTCTGCTTTTTAATCACTCCCAGCAGTCTTTGTAGATTGCCCCTTAGCCTTGGTAGGTGAGCTATAAACATGGAATTAAATGATGGTTTATAAAATAAGTATACAAAAGCTCAGGCCTCACACAGGTACCTCTGGTTGGCTTTTGAGTGCCTGGGAATGGTGAGACTGTTCTCAGAGCTAAATACACTGAGGTGCAAAAGAGTTTGCAGGATTACACCAGGAGATTGACTTCCCAACCTGTCTTGATGAACTTGCTAAAGAAAGGCAGGCAGTTCCCAGCTATATAATTTCCTCCCAGCATAGATCTGTCAGAGCCTGAGACTTCTTCCAGTCTGAGTATGATGAAAGATGAAACACTGTCTAAAGAAATGCAATTAAAACAATCAGCCAAGGAAACAAAAACCCTCTGAGCTACTGCCTCCTTTGGCTTCCCTTATATATCCTGTCTCTTCTCTGTTTGGGATAATTAGGTTGAAAGCTCTTTGAAATGAGGAACTGTCTACATTTTGTCTCGTGTGTAAGACTAAGGTCACTGTTGGTACATTAGAAAATACATCATTATTTAGCATTTGTCTTAATGCCTCTGATGGAGACAAGGAATTTCAGCCTTGGATTTCTGGGAGAACTTTCCTAAGAATGAACAAAGCAATACTAGAGTGAATTGACAGTGTGTAATATTTCTCCCGAGGGATTTTAGGTTGGAATGAGCTAAGGAGGAGCACAGGAAATCCCAGATATTTGCCAGTTGGAGCATGAAAATGCAAAACTACATCTGAAATTTAGACATGGCCAGGATGTGATTCTTGGGTACGTGCCCTCACAATACTTTGGTGGGGGATTAAAAAGGTATATGTGAGAGGGATCCAGGCACAGGGCACGGGACTGAGCTCTCTGACACTTCTCCTGGAACCACTGCACAAGTGAGATGGTGATTCCAACTGTCAGGCAGGCAGCGAGGAGGGATGGGTTTTGAGGATAAATATCCAAAGTAATTGTGAGGCATCTAAATGCTGTGCTGGCTGTGGACATTTTAGAGCAGAATAGTTTCCTGATAATCATGAAGTAGACTCTTTCCAACATTTTCTCTTCCAAAGCCAGAGCTCCAGGCTGTATGGTTGCATTGCTGGCCAGCTGCTGAAGTCATAGTAACTGCTTTTCTTTCTTCAAGGCTTTGGAGCTTAGAGAGATGGCCTCTGGTTTGAAAATTGGCTTTTTTGTGCTTAGTCATAACCTCTGCAGAGCTGTGTGGCCTCCCAGACCTCTGCAACAGATGCTATTGTGCAACGTGAGGGCCCGAGATTGAAGTTTCCAGAACAGATTTTAATTAGAAACATAACTTCTTACAGTAGCTTGGAACGAGTACAGGGGGAAAAAAACCACCAAATCAAAACAAGAGAGGGAAAAGAAAATGCCAAAAAAAGAGAAGAATAAAAGGCCATTTATTGGCATTTTGTACTGAAGAGCATTTGATAGGAAATACTGTGTATATCTGTGGAAAAGTGAAGCATAAAACAAGTAGGAATAACTATGGGAGACCCTTAAAAAGCCATATCCTCAAGCAGTGTAAATCAGCATTGCTTCATGGATTGCATGAGAGCTGCCATTGCTCATGGATACCAGCTGAAGACCCTGGCCAGTTTGGCCCAAGAGAAATCCAGAAACTTTGAATACTTGGGGTTGGTTTTTTTGGTTGGTTTCTTTTAAAATTAAATTGTAATCAATCTTTTGTTTTGTAGATTGTCCTCCACTTGGTCTAGAGACATTAAAAATCACTGACTTCCAGCTCCATGCCTCTACAGCAAAGCGATATGGCCTTGGGGCCCACAGAGGAAGGCTTAATATTCAGGTAACATCTATTTTTCTCCTGAGTGGGAGAATGGCTGAAGGTTGCACTAACGAGAACTTGTGGATGGTTATTGGTTCTGACTACTTTGTCAGCCTGTATCATTCCAATGAAGGGGAAACTGTGGAATTATAGAAGTGAATCAGGTTGATGGATAACCTTTAGGTTGATGGGGCTTTAGCTAGGAAAAAAACCTCCAAACTTGGTGTGTGGAGGGTGCAAATCCAAACAAAACTAGGAGCATGATGAGGTGGAGGCAGCCAGAACTGCTCCCTCCCCAGCTCCAGACAAACCATCCCAGCTCCCTTAATGATCAGCTTGGAAGGAAACTCACACAGCAAGTGTCTTTTTTGTTGTTGCTTGCCAGTAGTTAATGACAATGGTTAATTGGAAATGTGGTTTCAAGTGAAGCACTTGCCCTCAGGCAGCTTTTCAGAGGCAAGGATTGTGCTACCAAAAGCTGCTCCAGTTCAGCTCACTAACATCCAATCTGGTTTAGCTTCTTTTATTCAATATTACAGATGTGCTTATGTGCTCTGCAGGACCAAAATCTCTTTACCCATTTCTGTTTTCCACTTTTAGTCCTTTTTACTGAATCACAGTCATTCCCAGTGCAAAAAACACCCCTTTTGCATAATGAAACACAACAATTAAAACTCAAAATCATAAACAGGGTAATAGCAACAAGCAATGAGGAATCATTGAAGTTTATTTTATTTATAAGTTACCTTTCATTATTAGACCCTCCATTAATTTCTTTTATAATTCAACTGAAGGGGTTTCCTGGTTAATCACCTAAGACTGGGACCAGGCAGGATGAGCAGCTTCACGTGGTGCCCACTCAGTGTGATGGTGGGCAGCTGCTGGAAGGAGGGACCACTTATGGTTAAAATCCCACCATGCATCTATTTTCTCCCTTGCTGGAGCTTTTGGTGCCTCTATGCAAGCAGCTCCATGAGCTTCTTTACTGGAAGAAAAGAACTATCACCCTCACAATTATTTTTTTAATGTATTTTGTGTCTTTTTTTCATTGTTTAAATTGATTCTGGTCTAGAGGCTCAGTGAAGCACTTGGTTCTGCAGCCACCTGAACCGTCGGAGGTGAGTGGTCACGCAGAGGTGGAAACTGGGTTTTCCCTCCCCAAGCCAAGTTTCAGGTACAACGGGTTGTGTAGGATGTGAAGTCTCTCTTGCAGCCTTCAGGTTTCATTCCTTTTGAGATCTGAATGAGGCAGTTTCCTTCTTTATTTCATATCCTCTACTAGGAAAAAACCAAACCCTTATGAACAAAAAGAAGCCTGGCCTCAGGTGGGTTCTATAGCAATGCTTAATTATTTTCTTGCAGGCTTTTTTACATAATGGCATAAGACCAAGGACATTGGCACAAACAGCTGAATTCTGTGCTGATTCTATTTTTCATGCTGATGTTAGGGTCCTATTTATTTAGGCACAAAAATGACCATAGTGGCTCAGACCATGAGACCACCTAGTCTGGTGTTTTGTCATCACCATTAACACTGCTTTAAAATAGGGAAGTGTAAGAGTCTTACATCTGGATGATATTTTTCCTAAATTGTAGACCAGAGTCCCTAGCAGAAACCAAGGGGTCAGTCTCTCCTCTCCCACCTTCACTTGTTGGGAAGCAGCCCTGCCTTGGCCTGGAAGGTTATCCCTGCAATGCTGCAGCCAGCTCTGTGACAGCAGCTTATTTTGCATTTCTGGTGAGAATAAGGTCTCCACTGCTCTGTGGGGTTGTCGTCCTCTCCCTGAAGGGCTGTGTGGAGTCTTGGGTGAAAAGACTTTGTGCCCTGTGCAAATTGACTTTTTGTTCTTCTCTGTGCTAAAGCTGGTGCCCTTTTTGCTGTGAACAAAGGCTTCATGATGTCATGTTTCTGCTTGATATGGGCTTTCATGTTGTCATTGTCTGGAGCTGCACAAATGCTCCGTGGATTGATTCCCCTTGTGATGCTGAAGCTGTTCTTATCTCTTTCTGGTACAGGGACTTCCCTCCTTCCAGGCAAGGGAGGCTCATCTAGCAATAACCCATCAGCACATGGCTCATAGTAAAGTGGCTTCCCTGGCTTGCTTTTCTCTTTTGAGTGTTACTGTCTCTCTCTCTGCTGCATCTTTATCTCTAATAAAGATTCCTAGTAGCCTTCAAATCAAAAGCTTTGACTTTTAGTGCGAACTTCCCTGTATATTATAACCACAGCAATTCCCTAAACCCCCTGACCAATTAAGAGTTACCACACTGACTGGCAGTGTTAAAAGGATGGGCTTGCATTTATTTGTTTTTTCTTTAGCTCTTACTTTCCTTGGGATTTGCTTAAAATTAATCTCACTTTTTTTTGAACCCACTTAGAATTTGCAGATTTCTTTCTTGTTGCTTGGGTTTCAGTGCTTAAATTCCATTTGCATTAAGGCTTCTGCATTTCAGTAGGGTTGAAAAGATCTGTGCTTACAGCCAGGAGTGGGTGCTAGAGGGAACTGCTGTGTTAGGTGGGTGTTAAGGTCTCTGGTGCCTTCTGTTCAAGGTTCAAAAGGGCAGGATGCTGGGGAAAGGCAAAAAGCATTGGGATTCCAGCAGCTGGGCTTCCACGCTGTGTAGAACTGCCCACAAAGAAAAACACTTGGCCCAAGTCAGAAAGCCTCAGAGAGGCTGATGTGCTGCTGAAGTTTCACCACAGCACAAGGCTGAATGTGCAGTGCTGAGCAGTTTGATGGGCTGCTGCTCCTTGGCATGGGCCAGGTATCCCCACAGTGCCAGCACCGTGTTCATGTGGCTGTTGTGTTCCTCCCAGAAAGAAGAAAAATTCCACTCTCTGCTCAATCTCATCATCTGATGCAAAGTCAGCTGAGGAGCCTGGGGCTCACCCCAGGTGAATGGCACTACCTTGGTTCATGGGATAACAAAGTTTTCTAAAGGGTTCAGAGGGTTTTTTAGTTTCTGTTTCCCTTACTTGAAGCATGTGAAGTTAATCAGTTGGTGGGTGCTTCATTCCAAAGAAAACTGGGCTTAGCATTCCTGGATAACACCTTCTAGGATCCTCTTCTTGTGACTTCACATGGTGTGGGACCTGATTCACTTTCCAGTCCTGGGAGAACATGGTGATTAAGCTGGGACCTCTCAAGGGCAGGAGCTGCTCAGGCATGGTCTGTGACTGCAATAGGGGCACAACCAAGAGTAATTTAAACATCATCAGGAAAAATCACAGCATCAAATAATATTCAGTGAGGGACTCTGCCTTCAGGGATAAATGTCATTAGTATTTGTCAATATTAATATTTGTACAATAATTGGCAGTGGCTAAAACCTGAGATAATTAGGCAAAATATTCCATCCCCTTCCTCATTTTCCTGGTTGGAAAAATCCCAACACTGAGGATTAACCAAGTAATTCTAGCATGGGTATGCAAATCAGAAGCATGTATTACTTTGTCTTACAATTTCTTTTGAAAAGCTTCTTATCACAACACAAACAAAAGACAATTACTGAAGCTCTGCTTCTTTCCTACTGGCCGGGCCTGCTATAAATACCTGTGATGATTAATGCTTTTTAAATGTATTTTCCTACCAGATTTTCTATGGTAAAATAATGGTTTTCCCTGCTGGGAAAGGGGAAGAATTTAAGCAGAAGTGGTTTGATATTTAGGTGTATTTTTACTGCTCCTCTAAGGTCACTTGAGGCAGAATAATTTTATTTTTTTTTTCTTCTGAGACTTGACAATTTTCAGGGTTTGTGGGGTTTGTTTTGCAAGTAAGCTCTTTCCTCAGTGTGATGTAGAGGAGAGGTTTGCACCTTAATGAGCATCACAGCAATGGGACATACGTGCAGTTTGAACGAGGACCAAGAATCCCAGGTGAAGCAGGGAGAGTTTTGGGTACTTGGTCCACAGAAGTTGGTGGAATGTCACCAGTGTGAAGGGAATCACCATGATGCTGGTTCAAGGTGCTCTGTGGATCTTGACACTTCCTGGCAATTAACCCTAAGGCTACTTCAAATTTCATTTTATTTTAAAATGCATTGAAACCTTTTCTTGAAAAAGGTTACAACTCTTGCCAGTGATCATGTTGATATCCTCATGTTTTCCCTTTGTTCAGTTCTCCTTGAAAATCTTGCATTTTTAATGGTTTTTCTCTAGCTTATACCTTGAGTTTTATGTGGAAGTCACTTTAAAATATCAGAGTCAATACACAGAAGTGGCTTAATGTAAATTTGGCAGATGGAGGAAAACAATTTTTAAGTTGCCCTATCTCAGAGTTGAATACCTTAGAAAATGAGAAGCTTTAGGAATTGAATCTGTGCCTGTTTTGCAGTGCTTCTTTCAGATGATGCCAGACCCACACAGGGAAGAGGGATTACCACCTGCATCCCCTTTGTGAACTAGACCCACCCAATGCCCAGCTTGGTAGAAACCACCTGTAAAAATGGAGTTAGGGAGACATGTCATCTCTGCCATTGCAACCCAGCTCTGGTTGTAATATGTTCTCATGCTGCTCTGTGGGAAGCTGAGGGATAATTGTGGAAATCTAATTGACAATTTTATTCTTGGGTACCTCATTTATCTTTTGTATATATGCACCAACTGAAAATATAACACTGAGCTCACAATCACTGTACACCAGAGCTTTAAGATCTATCTTTAACATATATTTACAGAGTCTTCCACACTCTCTATTTATATTTGGGAAATAATGTGCATCCATTTTTAGAGTTGCATGGATGGCAATGATAAATCCACATTAAACACAGATGAAATATAATAAAAATACATGTAGCCTCAGGACCATGTGGAAAAGCTTCTGTGCTCTTTACAGCAGTAGCCAGCTTGGTGCAAAACATTTCCTGGGCTTTAGTAATAAGATACATAACATCTGAGTTCCTTAGATATTTATCTTTAAATGCTACTTTAGATCTAGTTGGCATAGAGCTTGCTCAAAATGCCTTGCAGCTATTTCTTTGAAAATATTGAGAAGGCTGTTTGGTGGTTTTGCCAGTGTAAATTGGGATATAGATTGGGTACACAAGTTGGTGTACAGCTGGGCACTCCTGAATTCTCAACCTTTACTTAAGGCTTGAATATCCCTAGTGATGAAAATGAACAATTCTGGGGCTGAAAATTGGTGAGAAATGGTATTAGTCTCTCCATATACCCTTCAAACTCCTTTGCTGCTTCCAGGGGAAAAGAGATTGCTCCAGCACTGACCATTATCTACACAGATCAGAACTGGTTTTTCCCCTCCCTACTTCAAGCAAGAAAATATTTTGGTCACTCCATAAAGCTGCTGAGAATGACAGTCTTGGGGGTTCTAAACTGGCACCCAAGGAGTGAGCAAAATGAATGATGACCCCATGTGTTCTTTTCTTTTTCCCATGGAAGACCCTCAGTTCCTTGGTTCTGATTTATGAAGACAGTTTTGCCTTGTTTTCAGGCAGGTGTTAACGAAAATGATTTTTATGATGGTGCTTGGTGTGCAGGAAGAAATGACCCATATCAGTGGATTGAAGTAGATGCTCGAAGGCTAACAAAGTTCACTGGAGTCATCACTCAAGGAAGGAACTCTCTCTGGTCGTAAGTACATGGTTGCTTTTGTCCATGAGATTCTGAGCTTGCAGACCAAGGAATTAATGTTCTATTATTTTCTGGGTTTTTGAGGAAAAAAGCCAGAATGGCAATGTGTGACATGAAGTACCTGAATAGAGGAACAGTGAAAAGCAAAGTGATTACATATGCCATAATAATCAAGCTTCAGGGTAGGAAGCTTCTATAGTGATTATCTACATCTGGAAAAGGAATCAGCATGATTCATACAGGTTATATGTCTCTATACTCACCTTGTAAAAATTCCTTCTGTAAAGCTTCTTTTTAAAAAATTTGATTAGTTTATCATCTTACAGAAAAACCAGTGATCTTTGAGATTTATTAATGCATAAGAAATCATCAAATAAATGGTAACATTCCAAAGGAACAGGATTCTTAATTGAATCATTAAAGCAAATTCTATATTTGTACTTGTTCTATAGAGGAATTTGTAACGTGACCAAAACCTCCTTAGTTTGTTCTGAACAGGACTGCAGTGTTGGGCAGCAGGTCTGTTGTGCTGTGGTTATGGATGTTTGGAGGACTCCAGGCAGTTCAGGACTGCTTGCTAAATAGTTTAGGAAGGAGAACTTGCCCTATATGTCAGGCAAACTGCCCTGCTGCCTTGGTCTGAGGAGACAAACCACCACATGTGTCTCAGGAGCTTTGGTTTGAGAGTGCTCCCCACTCCCATTGCTGGAAGCAACCCTGAGCTTCCTGATTGCTGCTTGTGTTGCAGAACAAGGATGTGGCACTGGGAAAGAGCTGCTTTGCACAGACTTGTGTGCATTTACTCCTTTGTGTCCTGCTTCTGAGTGTAGGTGCCCCAAATACTCTAATAAAACCAGTGTGGGTGAGGTGAGAACTGTATGAGGAATCCAGCAAGCAGCCAGAACAAGCAGGAACTGGAGGTGATGGTTCATTTTTTCCCTGGTCTTTACAGTGTGTGTTCAGTCTCTTAATTTCTCTTAGAGTGTCACTGTGGTATCTGAGCAAATAATCCTGCTTGTGCTGCTCAAACCTTTGACCAAGTATCCAGGAGTTGCACAGCCTTAGACCTGTTCTGGCCAGGACTTTCACTTCAGAAAATGAATGTGCCTTATAATAAAAGGTAAACCAGAAAAATACCACTGTAGCTGAGAGTCTTTTTTTCCCCTCTTTATCTTAATTTTCTGGGTTTTTTTTCATTTCTATTAGCATTTCTGTGGGAGTAGGAGCCTTTTTGGCAATAAGGTTTCTATATTTATTCCACATTGTTCTGTGTTAGGTAGGTAATTGCTGCAGCAAAGTCTCATTCTCTTGGGTATTCATGCTCTTGACATGCTGTTCCTCTCAACACCAGGGCTGCACTGCTTGTCTTGTAGTGCTATTTTTAGTCCAGCTTTATTGCAAGTTTACAGCAGGACTTGACACTCTGTTTATAGTTGGTGTCCACAGTCATCTTCTTTGTTTGGTTTTTAAATGGCTGAGTCTTACTTTTGCCCTTTTCCCCTCACAAAGAGTTGGTGGACAGACCCTGAGGGTCTGCAGGAAGAGCAGGGTTGGTGCTGGGAGAGCAGGTCTAGGCTCCTCCTGGATTGTTACTTAGATTTGGGAAGAAACAGGCACAAACTGCCTCGTAGGAGCAAAGATGGTTTCAACTGGACCAGCTGCACTATGGGGCAGGCTAATGCCTCCTGGAAAACGTGTTCTATATGACTGGGCTGGAGAAGTGGGGAGAAATAGTTCCAGTAAGGGGTGACTTCCTTCCTCACCTCCAGTCTACACAAGGCACTGTTGTGGAGGTGGCTTTTCTTGCCAGGGTGTGATGGTCTCCATCTCCCTTGCTAGCTCTTGCTACAGTCTTGGCTGTGGGACTGACTTCCCTGGGGTTCACCTCATTTTCTTTTTCCACTCACTGAATCACAGAAGTGTTTTCACTGGGGAAGACCTGTAAGATCAAGTCCAATCACTAACCCAGCACTGTTAATGTCCCTCAGCACCACACCTACATGGCTTTGAAATCCCTCCAGGGATGGTGACTTCACCACTGCCCTGGGCAGCCTGGGCCAGGGCCTGACAGCCTTTTTGCAAAAGAAATTTTCCCTGATATCCCATCTAACCTTCCCCTGACACAACTTGAGGCCATTTCCTCTTGTCCTGTTGCTCGTTACTTGAAAGAAGAGACCAACCTCACCTTAGTCCAGCCTCCTTTCACAGAGTTAGTGTGATCTCTCCCATGAGACCTTATCACATTGGACAGATAAAATCAGTGCAGTTGGTTTGTGTGCTCTGCTTCTGCACATTTAAGTCCTTAGCTTTTAAAAATAAATTGGTAATCCCTGAGGTACCACAGTAGATGTTAATGATTGCAAGAGTTGCAGCCTTACTCTGAGCCAAGAGGGGTGTCCTGGGGTTTCCAGAGACTCAGCACCTAGAAACATCTTACCCAGGAAGATGACAGTGCTGCTCTCTGAATTAATCCTGTTATGACATCTTAAAAGTGATCTTCTCAGTATGGCTTTCTACCCCAGTTCCTCCAGCAGTCAAGAAAGGGAGGGGAAAAGGAAAAACCATGAAGCCCTGGGCTGGAGAACAGCTCTGTAAAGGGAAAGTTAATCAGACAACAGCAGAGCCCCTGAGCTTGATGCAGAAGTTGCCTTAAGGTGATGTTCAGAGGCACTGATGGAAGCTTTGCTACTTGTGGCAAACTGGGGAGACAATGACCTGACCATAGTTGTAGAGGTTGCATGCAGTGAATTGACTTTTGTAAGCCAGTCCAGAAGAAGGAGGCTGGTAGGGCTTTTTATTTTGGTGTGAACAGGTTCTTTTCTGACTGTTTCGCTGAAACAGGCGGTAGAAGCGAAGGGGACTCATCAGCTTCCCTCTCTTCTACTTTGCTACTGCCTGTGATGGTATCAAAAAGGGTGTTTGATATGAAAGTTTGTCAAAAAGGATGCCAATCTGTTACCTGAGGCATCTTCCCAGCTTCCTCAAGTTGTGTGACAAGGATATGGTGCTTTCATAACTAATAGAAACACTTGTTGGAGAATAAATTATGCCAGGTAGGAGAGCCAAAAACCAACCCTCTGATCTGGGCTGCATTAGAAGCAAAAGCCTGCCAAGCTTGAGAGGTAAGGTAAAATTTTTATTTAAGCCTTGGAGACTTTCCCAGCATTATATAAAAAGAAATCAAGATAACAGGATATATGCTCAGTTCACCAGTGTTGTTATGTGATAGTGATAAAGAATCAGAAAAGCAACATTTTTTTTCTTTCTTTTTGTATTGAACAGGAAGCTTTAACAAAGAAGAAAAATTTCTTCAAATGAATGTGTTCTCTTAGCTTCTGCCTAGATCAGATTTGTACCTCTCCTGGTCCTGTGTTTCTGATGCAGTAGCCAGGGCTAATATATTGGTGGCAGAAAAAATGCTATTTCTTGTCTGTCTGCCCCTGCAGGCTGTGGCTCTGCTTCCTGGCCAGGGTTCTTGTGCTTGAGACATGAGAAGCTTGAGGAGGAAGGGGCCAAGGTGCAAAAAGAGCTCTTGAAAGCACAGATGGTCTGACTGGAGGAAGAAGCAAACCTTGTTTGGGTAGTGATGAATATTTGTATTGTTCAATCATTTCCCTTTTTAAGGAAAAACACTTCGGAGTCAAATGTTGTGCCTGGCTCTGAACTTCCATGGTAGCCAGTGGAGCCAGATCTTTCTGCTTTTCTTTCTTCTTCCTCTAATGAGAAAAAAACAGGCTTTGAACAAGAGGTGCTTAATTTGAGGAGCTCTTTCTCTTACCAGTCAGAACAAGCACGTAGGCTCAAGGGCTGTTGCTGAGCACCTCAGGCTTTCCTGGGAAACCTGAAGTCATGGCAAAATGTTCTTTTACCATCACAAATGGCAAACTCTGCTTAGATTAGCCAGAAGATCTGCAGATGTTGACTTCCTCAGACAAGGTGAACCAGGACACCTTTTGGATTTTTGCACTTGTGATACCCACAACAGAGGTGCCACCTGTGTGGGGTGATATGAATCAGAACTAACACCTTGAGAGTGGGGCAGAATATAATTTCTTTTGTACACACTGAGAACATCTGGAGATCAGTGTCTCTTCCACATTACCACAGTTCTCACCCTGTTTCACTCTGAGTATCCAGTAGTTGATAGACAGGCAATGGTGACATCTCTTTGCAGAGCTGCTTTGTTTGTCTTCTCAGGCTGGATGAAGTTGTGTGAGTGATGTGACCTTTTAGAAGTGGGTGAGTGCCATAGCTGGGCTACAGAAGGCTTTAGTGCTAAATATTTGGGGGAGAAAGAATATAGGTCATTTTTTTCATATTACTGCAATTCATCCTTCAGTTTTAGGGACAAGGAATCAATAAATAACTGCTCCAGGCAGCTGAGTGGGACACTGGAAGCATTATTGGAATTGTGCCATGTATTTAGAGCAATGATGTGATTGATGGTTTAAAATATGCTCTTTTTTTTGACAGAGGGAAAGAAAAATATTAATCACTCTTAGCAGTTTGTCAAGAATCTAAAAAAGGATAAGAAGCATGTTTCCCACAAACCAAGATATCTCTTGATAATTTAGCATTGCCTTTTGCATCAAGAGAAAACCCACATGTCCAAATAAACCCAGTGTGTACTGACTGTAATCTAAAGCTTCAATTTGTTTTGATTTTTTAGAGGAGGATGTAATGCTTCAGTGAGATGTATTTGTGATGATGCATTTTATTAAGCTGTATCTCTCAACCGTGTTAAATTCTGTACTATCACTGCATGTCATGAAAGAGCAGCATGACAGCAATGTGCAGAATGCTTAAATTCCAAAGCAAAATGCTGAAAGCTTTAGAAAAAAAACCAAAATAGACTTTTCCAAGTATGTTTCCTTCAGTATTTTCATCAGGATAAAAGATCTTAAAGTTGTTTGGTTTTGTGTGTTTTTTTTAAATTTTGTCCAAGATATTTGTATTTAAGAAAAAGAAGAGGGGGTGGCAGTTTTCAGTGTCTGATTTGG